CAATTATTGGTTGATGTTTGTGTGAGTGAGCCAGCTGCTGAGATGTTTTTTTGTGTCCATGATGGACTCTGGTCCCCCAGGAGGAGTACTTGAGTGCCCTAAGCTTAAGAAGGGACTTTATACCTTTCCAGGGTTTCTTTTTCTCTACCACTACTGACATGGGGGAAGAGACAAAGCAGTTCCTGGCTAGTTTGTGTGAGCCTCCCTGTCAGTAGCTGGTACTTGTGGGAAGGAACAAGCTGCAGTGTTTTTACAGGGACCTGGACAGGATCTAGTGTCTCAGGATAAGCATAAGAGTGCTCCAGGGGGCAGGTGGGACCCTGGAGTTTTCAGATAAATCCTTAATCTCCGCTGTAGGAAAGGTAAATGGGGGAGTGCAGCTGGGAAGAACTGGGTTGGGTCAACTTGCCCTAGGCTCCACAGAAGCTAACCAGTTAGCTGTTGTGGTAGAGGTTAAAGGTCTGCTCCCAGGTTCTATGTAAAAGGACATCCTCTTAATGAGAAAGAATTTCAGTTTGCTCTTGGGAAACAGTCTCTCATAATTAAAAATTTTGCAAAAATTCACAATAAAATTTTGTCAAATCACTTCTGCATAGATATGCTTTATTATATAATATTCATGACTTTACACATTATGCCTTTCTGCACAATTATTTTTGTATTCCATTTGTCAAACCATGGTATTGTGCTTTATGAGTGATTTAGGAAATTTTAAAAAATAAAGTTACTGACATTTTAATATTACTTCCTCATATAAGATTGTGTTATATTTTTGCTAATTATTACTACTAATAACTTTAATAACAATCCAATCAACCTTTTTTATAAATGCCACTAATTGCTCTGGACTCACTGACCGATTCTAACCCTCCCTGTTCTCTGGTCCTTAGCTTTACACCTTCACTGTAATATCTTCTTTGCTCCCTTGGACTACCTCCTGGTCTACCCTCCTTTACTTTACCCTCCTGCTCTACCCTCCTTTATCATCATTTTTTCATAGTTTCAAGCTCAGTTCATATTTTTGCCCTCAGTAATAATCCCTACATAGACTTCAGCTCTCTTCTAAGATGTAAAAATCACTAACCAAGTGTGATTCATTTCTTGATTTTTTTTTTTTTGGCAGTTTTTGGCTAGGGCTGGGTTTGAACTTGCTACCTCCGGCATATGGGGTTGGTGCCCTACTTCTTTGAGCCACAGGCACCACCTACTCATTTCTTGATGTGAGGGAGTTTATTCATTCACTTTTAAGAAGTCTTTATGGAGTGCCTATTATATATTAGAAACTGTTCTGTGTATGGAGGTTAAAAAATACAAGTCCTACACATAAATATGCATAGTCACAGGGTACTGCAAAAGGTGACGTGGGAGAGATCTAATAATGCACAATTACTAAAATAATAATTACCAGACAATATGCGGGCACTTTCAATCTATAGAGAGGATAAAGTTAAAGTAAAATCATTTCTATTCATTATTATTAGAAATTAGTTTAAATGCAAATGGGTTCTTCACCACTGCAATGAATCATAGGAAGAAAGGAATTGTTTAATCAACTTATTCTAAGTAAGATACATTCTTATTTGTCTTTGATAGCTTGAGTGGGGTCTTCCCAGAAGGCATTAATGGAGGAGATAAGTAGTCGCCAACATTTTAAGCATTTTTTTTTTTTGACTCATTTCATGGAAGACAATTTTTCCCTGGAGGGGGCAGGAGTGAGGGGAATCTGACAGGAGGTCAAGCTCAGGTGGTGATGTGAGCCAGGTGAAGTGGCTATTAATACAGAAGAGGTTTCACTGGTAACTTCCTGCTGTGCAACCCAGTTTCTAACAGGCCACATAGGCCATGGCCCAGGGGTTGGAGACTGCAGGAGTAGATGGTAATTCTGTTTCAAATACTCTGATTTGATGGTGAAAGTTTCACTATCATTTTTCTTACAATTCCGTATTTTAATTACAAGATCTATATTTTACAGGTTATTTGGAACTTGTGTATATTTGACTTATTAAATTTGTAGCTATTAAATTAACCATTAAATTAGTTTTAATCACTGCCATTAAATCTGGTTCTTATGACTAAAACCAGAGAGAAACTTGACGTTTTTTATTTTCCTCAAGTTTGTCAGGACTTATGCTTCTGGAGATACCTCTGGCCTCCTTTCTTCTTAATGTTTCTTCCTAGCTGTGGTAGCTCACCTCCAAGATAGCCCAGTGACCCTGCCTCTTGGTGTTTAAACCCTGTATCAACTTTTCCCATAGTGTACCAATATGCAGAAGGGATGGTATATAACTCACAAGATTACGTTACCAAAGATTTCCTTCTGTGTCTGATGCTCCCTTGCTCATGAAGTAAGTCACTCTCAGTCCCTGGATTATCTGTTTGGAAAACTCTGTAGCAAGGAATTGAAGCCTCTCTAGACCTACACACCACAAAGAACCAAGGTCTGCCACGAATATGTAAGTGAGCTTAGGAGCAGACTCTTCAGGCTCAGTGACCCTTGAGGTGACTGTGGCCCCAACAGTTTGACTGCAAGTCCTAAGAAACTCTCAGCCAGACCCTCTTGGCAAAGCTGTTCCCAGATTCTTGACCCTCAGAATGTGAGCTAATCAATGTTTGTTGTGCTAAGCTGCTAAGTTTGGGGGTAATTTGTTATATGGCAATAGATAACTTATATACTCCTTCCTTAAGAAAATCTACAATAAGATCCAATTTGCATCAAGGTAAGAGATCTTACTAAAGCTTCTTCCCATAGAATTTGTGAGGCTGCCTGGTCCATGGATTCCTTAAGAAAGGAATAGCTGTGTTTTTTCCTATCCCAGTCCTGGATTTATAGTTTGTTCCTCTAATGGTAGGGATAATTTTGTTTCCTCCGTCAAAGTCCTCATTTTTTGGTTGATTACAGGGATTTTTGCAGAAAAGCACTTTTAAAATAAATAATGATACATACATATGTACACATATACACGTACCTCTATGTAACAATGTCTATCAAACCTTCAAAGAGGAGCTTATACTCATACTGCGGAAATTATTACAAAAAATTGAGAACGAAGGAATCTTCCCCAGCACTTTCTATGAAGCAAACATCATCCTGACACTAAAATCGGGAAAAGACCCAACTGAAAAGAACTTCAGACCAATTTCAGTAATGAATATAGATGCAAAAATTCACAATAAAATCCTAGCCAATAGATTACAACTACACATTAAAAAAATCATACATCATGATCAAGTAGGTTTCATCCCAGGGATGCAAGGCTGGGATGCAAGGTTTAATAGAGGCCAAGTCTATAACTATAATTCACCATATCAACTGAAGCAAAAACAAAGACCATTGATCTTCTCAATAGATCTAGAAAAAGCATGTGATAAAATTCAGCATCTTTTTCTAATTAGAACACTTAACAATATAAACATAGGTGGCACATTTCTTAAATTGATTGAAGCCATCCACAACAAACCCACAGCTAATGATATTCTGAATTGTGTAAAACTGAAAACTTTCCCACTTAGAACCCATTTGATCCTGCAATCCCATTACTAGGCATCTACCCAGAAGAAAAAAATATCACTTTATCATAAGAATTGTTACACTAGACTGTTTATTGCAGCTCAATTTACACTCACAAATTGTGGAAACAACCTAAATGCCCACCAATCCAGGAATGGATTAACAAGCTGTGGTATATGTATACCATGGAATAGTATTCAGCCATTAAAAAGATAGAGACTTTACATCTTTTGTATTAACCTGGATGGGGGTGGAACACATTCTTCTTAGTAAAGTATCACAAGAATGAAAAAGCAAGAATCCAATGTACTCAATTCTAATATGAAGGCACGTCTTCATACATTATCTTGTATAGATAACCTAATACAGAGTGGAAGCTAGGGGAATGAGGGCTCGGGGAGAGGGGATGGGGAGTCTTGGCGTATGGCATACCACTTGGGGAAGGAACACAATTATAAGAAGGACTTTACCTAACAAATGCAATCAGTATAACCTAGCTCTTTGTATCCTCAATGGATCCCAAGCAATAAAAAAAATGCTTTTATTATTTTTACTCTGTATATAGGTGCTATGTAGAGAAAGCTAAAAGAGAGATAAGATAAATTATATGTATACAAATACTTTATTTTAAATTCACATGTGCATTTTATATACATTTATATACATATGTATGTATGAATATTGATGTATACTTGTTATATAATTTATTCATGTTATGTTTTATATATACATATTATATAACCTGTTCATATATATAGACCTACACACATCAATGTAAATGTAGGTCTATACATATAGCTTTACCTGTAGCTATCTGTAGTTATCTGACTATAAGAAATTTCTGCATGAATTAAAAGGAGTATGCACTGATTATTAGAAGATTATAAGAAAACAGGCATTAGAGTAGCAATTCATTATATCTCAGCCCTTTAAAGTTCTTCATAAAATTAAGAAAACAAGAAAACATAAAGGGATCATTTAATGGATTCTAAAGATATGTGTAGATAGCGTTCTTTATAAACCTAAGTAAAATTTTCTTTTTAATGGACTATATTTGATTTTTTTGGCAAACAAATCCAGAACCAGATAAAAATTATTTATCTTTTGCTGAAATTGTTTCTCTTCTTTTTCCTTCATACACTAAATATAGTAGGTACAATAAATTTCTTACCAAATTTCTATTCTTGTCAAGTTTGATTAATCAATATTATCTAATAAAATAATCTACAAAGAATTTATATTTATCATGTAATATTATTTTGTTTTAGTCAAGAAAGTACTACAGGAGAATGGGAGAAGAGAGAAAGTAAAATATTCCTTGAGAATCTAAACTTTTTAAAAGTGGTATTAATACAGATAAATTAAACCTATGTTGCTTCATTTGCAAAATTTTATGAAATATTTGTGCTTACAAATAAGAATAAGTCAAATTGCATTCTAATTAGAAGTCATGTAAAAATTCACTTTTTTCTGAAAAATCACCACCACTCACCTGTACACCCAGGTCTCTGGAACGTTGTGTGCTGCATACACGGTGAAGCTAAGGTGTGAATGAAGCCCAGGATTCGCACAGAAAGTGCTTTCAGGTACGTTCACAGGCTGAAAATCTGCATAAAAGCTGCTACAATACACATTGATTAGCTGGTGAATGGATGTGGATAGCTCAGTTGTTACTTTCTCTATTAAGCCTAGAAGGGAATAGATAGAAATCAAGTCATCTATGAAGGGCCATATTTATCATTAGCTATCTATTACAGCCTTAACATTATTTATAATAAAATTTAAATAAAATTCAATTAAAATGACCCTTTACCAACTGAAGCCAATTAGCCGTCTGTGCCTCTGAATGCAGCTTGGTGTAGCTATTAGTAGATCAGGTATCAAAATGCTTTCACATCAGCAGCAGTAGAAATTTTGGAAGCACGGCCACCAATTGGAATTTTTTATTGTTAATTTTTCATTCTGATCTCATGCGATTTGCAACATAGTTTGGTCTAGTTTGTGATTTTTATAGAGTTTTTAAACAAGGAACGTATTTTCTACATGGCATATAAATACCTCATTTCCATCTAAAGAGTCAAACATAGGGCAGTGCCTGTGGCTCAAAGGAGTAGGGCACCGGCCCCATATGCCAGAGGTGGTGGGTTCAAACCCAGCCTCGGCCAAAAACTGCAAACAAATTTTAAAAAGAGTCAAACATAGTACATTTGATTATGTTATGATCTTCACCATTACCTGAACACTGATCATAAACACTGTGCTAATATAAAAAGAGAATGATAATATTAAACGACATGGCTGAAATTTGAAACAGCTTGAAATGAGAGAATTAAATGTTTACTGAATCTCTTCAAAATCAAAGCCTTTCCTGGATTTTACCATTAGTTATTTACAGGGATTCTATTGATTATTCCTAAAAGTGACTTGTCATGAAAGAAGACAAATGAAAGAAAATTATTAGGCATAGGGGCCAGTAGTTTTCCCCTGGAAGCTAAGGAGATGGGGAGAAAAAAAGCACATATTGGCTCGG